GAAAGGGCCCTCTCCCCCAAAAACTCATGAACAAGGAACAGCCAGACGCTAGAAAGGATCTCATCAGCCTCTGGAAGAAGTGTGTGAGTAAGCTACTCGAGATCTGATAGATATCTAGCTGGCAGTAATTTAGATGCGTTATCAAAAGGCTACCACAGCCAGACTGTTTGCTCTTTAGGATTTCTAAGATATTGCTCAATCCTGTACCCTAGTTTACCCTACCCCTTGTAATCAATAAAGTTCTCCTTTTTGACTGGTGTGGGAGACTTATTGAGGGGTGGGTCTAAATTATGCCTAAGAGACCCCTTAGGTCTGCGGACTAAGGGAGACTTTACTTTTTGCCCCCGGACTTGGGGAAGTGCCCCAAGTGCCTATATTGGGTCGAGTACCCGTAGGACTATTAGGCCTGTGTTTCCCCGAGGATACAGGGCCGAGACAGTCCACTCTCAGGGTGGTGGCGGCACGTTACCCCCAGACTAACGAGTTGGCTCCAGGAGAGGGGTCGGCCGGACATAAGGGGCCCCTAGGGAGGCATTCGGAGCCTGGCAGGTGGTTGGGCACAGGGAGGTGGGCAGCTCAATGCAGGAGCGCCCCCTACTGGCCCGCCTCACGTGGTGGAAATAGCAGTGGGATACGAATACCCAGCTGTTTTCCTGAGGTGGGATCTCTGCACCCGCCACAGTGGCACGTCCTAAACTTTCAGTGCCAGGGACGGTGTGCAGGGGGAGACCTGAGCTCCGTAACATTGAGCCTGCACGGTCCTCATCCTTCCGAGACCCCTATCTCAGATGCTGCTGAGAGGTGCTTTCTTGGGGTCTTAGAGTATATCATATTCAGGCCCACTTTGGTGTCCGAGCAATTTATTTTTAAACCCACTCGGTTCTTTTAGCTCGGCTATCTCCAAAGTGAGCAGCTCCCAGAGCTGGCAAGCTGCTATTTCTGTCCTCCTCTGACTTGAACACAACCAAATTGATTCATTCCACGATAGATTAATGATCAGTATGTTCCTGGGCTGAGGAGTTGTTTAGCATACTTCAGCCTAGTGCGAATTGTCAGAGCTGAGTAATTAACCTCTAGTAACAGACACCTAGAATGGAAATCCTGACACTTGCTATTAATCATTGCACGTATTATGGTAGTGGCTACAGACCAAGGAATGGACCCCGTTGCGTTAGGTGCTGTACAAACAGAGGGAGAGAGGCTGTGCCTAAAACAGCTTAGAATTTGGAAAAATGGAAAATTCCTTTTCATTTAAAAAATATTGATGGAAAAATGACACTTTTGGACCAGCTCCAAGAATGGAGATAGATATCCCCTGAGGTTGTGGTCAGGAGTCGGGAGGAGGAGCAGATGTGATGAAATGCCCTGAGAGGGCCAGTTTTGATGAGATTTTTGAGCCGAGAGGAGTACTTTTGGCATTTTAGACCTTTTAGCATGTATCTGAGCCCCTCACTCACTCTGTGGTGACCTGTCCCCCTCCTGTGGTGGATTGGTCACATGCAGAGGTTGGTCACGGGCAGCAGAGCTATCCAAAACGGGAATATCTGTTCCACAGGAAATTCCACATTTGTGGGTTCCTTTTATTCGGCATCAGGTGCTGGCAAGGTGGACTTTGCATGGAATGGCAAATGGCACCAAATCCTGGTTTGATCCCAAGCGGAGTTTTAAACTAAAACGGGGACTTCTGTTTTACTTCCAGGCAGATGAATTGGCTTTGTAGCTGCCAGGTGGGCAGGGAGGGCTGAGGGCAGCGTAGGGAGCTGGGTTACCTGCCAGGCACATAAATCTATGTCACAACTTTGCCGGGGGAAGAGGGGTTGGCATTTTTTTTTTCAACACACACTGCTGATCCATTGGAGAAGTTTAGGGAAGCTCTCTTGGTGCATCTGGAAGAGCTTGGCTACCAGAGTCTGGTTGTCTTGCTCAGACTGTAAAAGCCTTTAAGACACAGAGTCCTAGGGGTCTGTGGGATCGCAGGCTCTGTGGGATCTTTTCCAGCTAGCAACCCTCCTAGAAGTGCTGTGTTACACATCCAGCCCAGAGAGGAATTCATCCCCAAATGTCCTGCTTCTTGGGCATACCCTGATTAACCACTGTGATGGCCATCCAGCTCCAGAAGAGCATGCTACATAGCAAAGTCACTATTGTGTTTATGTGTGGTGACACTTCAACACCCTGCAGCCCACGTTTGCGTTCCCGTTGCTGGGACTTCCATCTGGCAAACTCCCTTCTCCAAATATCCATCCTCACTCAGCTCCTACTGGGGGTGAGCAACAGGCAATAGGTGAGGCACTGGAGGCTAATCATCAGTGACAGTGTTTTCTACAGCCTGTAACTAATGGTAAGTGTCTTTATCTAAACTGTGACCCAAGCTGTCAGCAAAGCTGCCAGGATGGAGGCCACATGTTGCCCAGAGAGTGTCTTCATTTCAGCCTGTATAGACCGATGCCATAAATACTGCAGGAAGACAGACGTGCCCATTACAGCATCCAGCTCCCAGTTCAACACCTCTTACACTCCAACTTTAAGCAAGGGAGTTGTCCCATTGGGCTTGCACATGTGCTAGATGTTTGGCACATACTTAAATACTTTTCTGACATGAGGCCTCAGGACCAGCAGGCTAATCCTTGCTTCTATAACATGTATAGGCCACATAGTCATTTAATTATACTTTGCACTTCTACTCCAGAGCGCCTTTGAATGAGGTTCTTGTAGCACGTGACAAACAGTAGCAAACCCTTCCCACTGCCGTTTAAGTCATACATAAAAGCTCCCACTGATTTTTGCTAGAACAGAAGTGGGCCCTCAGGTGGGACAGCTGGAACTAGAGCATCTCAATAGTGGCTGCTTTTGCCCCCAGCCTGCTCCTTGATGCCGAGTGGGACCACCTGTTCTTCACTCTTGGGCAGAGTGACTGGATTTGGTGGAGTCGGGCTGGGTTTGAGAGGCCGCTGGGCTAGATTGAAGATGAGTTTGCTAGTTCTGGAGAGTGGTGAGTATAATGAACTGACCTGGCAGGCAAAGGACAGATGAGCTTATGAAGGAATTGTAAAATATCTTCCTTTTTTGGTGGAGGGCATAAGGAAAAGGGTACAGGGACAAACAGCTCAAGTTTGCATATCTTAAAATTTCCTGCTTTCCAGAGGCATGACCAGAACTGATTGGGCGCCGTGGGATCTTTTCCAGGGTCAGGATGAAGTATGGGCTTTATAACACTTACCTGTCCTGCAGAGCCAGACGACTTATTACATGGTACAGCTGAGGACAGCTCTGTGGGACTGAGCTGGAAGGGTGCGGGCATGGGTGGATCTGGGATTTTGAAAAGTGGGGTATAGACAGTGTGGAGTATCATCACATATAACAGTACCTATTTTCTCCAGTTAAAGAGCAAGTAGGTGCTTTGCTAATATGCTGGGGGGGATGGGGGAACATGATATTATTTGGTTTAAGATCAAAGCAAAAACAAATATAGCTGTTGGAATACGCAGCAATTGCTAAATTATATATAAAGTGTTTAAAAGAACCCACTAGGCAAAAAAAATAGTCCAAAGATATTATGTCATTAGTCCTGTAGGCATTGTAGTTAAATGTACGTCCCTTATTCAGAGTCATGAAACAAAATGTAGCCTTTATGAGCATCTTGACAGTGCCTCCAGGATTTCACTATCGGTCATTTCTGCAGTTAAGTAAATAGTACCACACCTGAAATAGAAGAGATGTTACTGAGAATGGCTAATGGATGGCAACATTGTAGACGAAAGGATAGTTTGAATAGTGAGACTGTAAGACTATTAAAAAGGAGAGCGGGTAACTAACACCTGTGGAGTGGAGAGAGATTAGCAGGAATCAGGGAGAAGACAATGAGCCATGGAGTCAATTGGCTCTCTGCGCTGCATAAGTAGAAATGCTGCTGCCCCTCCCAGGCAGTTGGTTTTAAAATTTGCATGGAGGGGAGTGCAACTGCACCACTACCTCCTCGCCCCCAGCCTTCCCCTCTGGCCAGTCCACCCCTGGGCATGGGTAAGGGCAGTTGTGTTGGTTCACACCAGTTGGACAGGTTGGTGGGTGAAGGGGGTCATTCTGCCTAAGGGAACTCGCTGGTAAAATGCAACCCATGCTGCAAGGACTATGTTTTCTCCACATGCATCTAAACCAGCTTTCTCTTCTACCTCCCATCCTATTCCCTCCTGCAAAAACAACCTGATTTAATATGCTCTCATATGCACTCCAAAGCGGCATTGACTCTTCCTACCCTTCTGCCTGGTTGGTCTTATTTCTTCTGGGCCCATGCCACTGGGGGAGTGCTCTTCTGGTTGGGCATGCCATTGACGTGACCCATGTTGTTGGGTCGAATGCGGTATCCAAAGCCATAGTGAGGAGCAGGTGGAAGAGCCATCAGATCTGAAGGTGGAAGCCAGGTTTACTGAGATGGCTGGGTGGCAAGGCCAAAGGCTGTGTTTACATTTAGCAAACATGTCAGAACCTACACGAAGACGGGCTCGGTCCTGGGCTGGGTCTAGTGGTTCCTCCAGCCCAGGCCATCTGGCTTTGAGCCAACTCATCACAAAACTGAGTTTTCAGGGAAAGGACAGATTCTCTCTCAGAAAAGGCTTCTCTCCTGCTTCTGCCCAGGCTGCAGCTGGAGTCTCCAGACAGCCTCTTATATAAGGCATTAATATTTAAAGGGGAAAAAATGTTTCTTCGTGTAGTATTAAAGCGGCTTTATACAAATTACGCGCATTCTGATCAAGGCCCCCGGGAGGAGAGTTCAACTGCTGTGCAGCAAACGCATGCTTCCAGGTGAATTGGTAGGGCAAAGTGCTGGTTGCTTTTGCATCTGCTGGAAGAGAGCTGGAGCTGTTCTGCCACTGGGCAATAAGAGCTGGGCCACTGGGGTTGAGTTGCTGCCTTCTCCAGGCAGCATCCAGCACTGCAAGTGATGTGCTAACCCCTGGGACTGGAGCCTCTCTAGGTCCTCCCTCTTTCTAGGTTGGATGGTGTCCAGAGCTAAAGCACTGACATGAAGTCCTTTCCTGAATAGGACCATTGTATTTCTGGGAGGTGGAGAACAGTATTATTCCCATTTAACAGATGGGGAAAACCAAGGCCCTTAGCATTCATACTGGGCTTCGATCATGGCAGGGAGCCACTAGCATAGCTGGAAATAGAACCCAGATGCCCCAAAGCTTCAACCAGTTCCCAAACATCGCCCTCCTTCCCTGGCAGGAATTTCAGCCCTGGGTTCAGCATGTGCTGACTTGTCCTGGGACTTTGGGCCGATCCAGGCATCCGATTCTGGGCTCTGGCATTTGACGCAAGGGCTTTTCATGGCTCTGAAGGAGACCAACTTACAGGCAAGATTAAGGGAATCTTGCCAGGAGCTTCAGTGAAGTTGTAATTTGAATTTAATTTTAATTCTAGCTATTTTCGCTGCGCGTTGCTGTTTTCTTCAATTAATAGCATGTTTTAATCTGTTGGCAATGCAAGCCTCTTTCTGCCAAGTGGTCCCAGCTGCCCAGAGCCAGCCAGGCTGTTTGCAGGCACAATCTGTCCTGGCTCCATTTGTTTGCACAATGGGGTCAGTCACCCCATGTCCAGGTGCTGGATTTAGCACGGCCCATTCCAGATTGTGTTAGGGGGCAGCGAGGCAGCGTCCACCTTTGCAGAGGGGCAGCTGTTCCGGCCTGCAGCTCGGCGGGTCCTGTTAGTTTTTAACCCCAAAGCCAGAGACGCTCAGTACATCTCCAGGCTGGTGCTTGAGATCTGGTCAAGGCAGAGAGGGAAAAGAAATATCCAGTGGAAAAAAAGTGTCTGAAGGGAGGGAGGGAGAGAGAGAAGAGAGGAGCAAGTGGACACTGATGGGCAGGGAGGCAAAAAAAAAAAGAGCAGGATGTGAAAGGCAAAGCCCAGCAGGACTGGGTGGTGCAGGTGAGCTGAGCTAACAAGACGCAGTGAGTGCCATTGAGCCTGGAGAGAGGCAGACGGCTCCTGACAAAAGCTGCCAGCTCACCGGTGAGCTGAGCAGACGCACCAACAAGATCCTTTGACCTTTTCCTGCCAAGGGCTGTCATGGCCCTTATTGCAGCTGGCTCGCAGTGAGCTAGGTATGGGGAAGATGTCGGAGGTAGGAGCTAGCATTAGGTTGCAGTGGTGGAGAGCTGTACAACATCGCTTTCTTCTAGCACTGAACAAGCAGCTTTATTAGGAGGGGGAAGGCGGCGTTCTCCCTAGAGCCACTGCTTTGCTGTACAGCTTTGACCCATTTGGACCCTTTTTGCCTGGCTTTCAGCCACAGATCTCAAGTAAACAGTAACAGACACTTCCCACCCTACCTCCTCCTCTTTCCCCGGTGTGAGCAGTCTTTTATGAGAGCTAGCATTTACCCACATACTGCAGCTCCTGGCAGGTTGCTGACTTTGCTACTCATCCAGATCTCCTCTACTTCTGCCTAGGAGTAGTATTTTGTCCAGTTGATTCCTCTGGATTATTGGCTCTCCAGGCTGGAAATCCCTGTCCAAACTTCCTAAAAACTGTTTCAGTGAGTTATCTCCCTTCATTCAGGCTGGGGAGCTGCTGTGAAGTTGCATAGTAAATGGGATGAGTCCAGAACCAGCTTTTCTTCTGACCCAAGTGCCTTGAGCCAGTTGGACCAAGGTAGGATCTTGAGATGTGGCTACAAGAGCTGGGTTTTCCCAGGTTTGTCCTCAGCTAGTTTTATTGGGACTGGGTCTCCTAACATCAGAAGGGCTAAGCTCTGTGATATACTGCAATAACTGGCAATCTTGACACCCCTCATGTCTCAGCCTCACATCAAGCTGCGTTGGCCATGGATTTGCCTCCAATGATGTCTTGAATTATTGAGCAAAAAAGCAATGAGCTGAGCATGCTCCAGTGTTTGAGGCAGAGTAGAAAGACTTGGCTAGATTAGAGAGAACCAGGAGAGCAGGCTATAGAGAGAGAGATTCAGTGATATTAGTGGGGGCCCCAAGAAGCGGGTTGTTAATAGTGGGATTCCCTGGGATGTGAGTACAATAAAACTTCCACCAGTGTCCAGTCTAGCATGGAGACACGACCTAACCCTAAATGGCCGCATCTAGCGAATGTGAGAAAACCCTCTAATGATATAAAAGAGAAGTCCCGGTGGCTCTCCAGTTGCAAACTCGGAGAGGGGCATCAAAACCCAGAGCCAGGACCGCCAGCTTGGCTGGGGGAAGCAGGGATGCAGTGTGCAACTGGCTGTAGGGAGCAGGCATGAGGGGATGGCTAAGCAGAAGTGTTGGCCGCAGGCCCGGGGGAATACTGGGACAGACAAGTTGGCTATAGGAAATGCTAAGGGGAGAGGCAATGTGGGGCTGGCTGTGGTTGGAGGGAAAAGCTTCACATGTGTGCCATTGCCCCTGAGCATTGTGATCAGGTCACATCTGTAAGTATTTTGCACTGGCACCCACTGCTGCTTCCTATTAAACCACCAAGGGGGGCTGCTTTTATTGCCAACCCTTTATCGCTGCATGGCAGGTGCAGCAGAAGCCTACTTCTGGTCCGGAAGCAGAGGTTGGCTCAGCTGGGTCTTGGCTTTCCTGTCTGAGCAGGTGAGCTGCCACGGTGCTCCGAGGAGTTTGCAGAGAGTCTGCCCCTGTGTCAGATGTTCCCTCCATATCCCCATCGCCCTGTCAGCTGAATCTCTGATTGCCACTGAAGGCAGACAGCAGCCTCTGGAGCACCGGAGGGGGTTTGAAGGTGAAAAATCTCCAAAGACAGCATCTGAAAGTTGTGCTCCTAGCTGCACAGCCTTTGAGGTCTGCGGCGGAGACAGCGCGGGAGCAAATCCATCTTGGAAGCTGCTTTTTCTCTCTCCTGCCTGCTCCCCTTTTCTCTCTCGCAGTCCTTTTGCTCCAATCTCCCTCATCAGACTTTAATGACATTCCCAGTTACTGCCACTAATGAAGGGCCACGGCTTTCACTAACAGGCCAACTGAGATGGATTCTTCATGATTGACTAGATAGCCCAAGAGGGGCTGTGTGACAGCTCTCCTCCCCGGGGCTTTGAACAAATGCTCTCGTCTCTAATCGAGTTCCTTCCAGGATTAATGAAGCCCTGAGATCACTTTTATCTCCCGGAACAAGACGGGGCAGCTTCCAGAATCAAAGTCCCTCAGTAAGCAAGGGAACGGCTGGTTCGGCACAGCAGCATTTTTAGGAGAGCACAGAGCTGGGGCCGGGGAAGTAAAAATAGAGGTGTGTGGAGTGGTGGAGGAGGGGGTAGACGAGTGCCTGTTATAATGCCACACTATGGCAATCGGCAGGTCTCCTTTACACACCCAGGCCTTATCTTTTACACCTGCACTGTTTCCCTTGGGTTTTGCACCCAGTTCTGTGGAGTGGCTTCAATGGGATCTTTATTTTCCCTTCCAGTGTTGCCCTCCATCAGGAAATGACTGTTTTGCCAAAGATGAAGCAGGGCAGAATGGACAAGATGGATCCATTTCTGTCCTGGCCAGCAGGGCTACGGCTGGGTGATATGATTAAAGTGAGGACAAATCATCCTTCACTCTGGTCAACACAGTATGTCTGCCCAGGAACAACTGGAGACCAGAGGTGCATGGTGCTGGAGGGAGACTTAGGTTCATCTCTCTCTCCATTTGGTTTCTTACTTCTGCCTCCTCACCACCCATCAACCCCACCATGGGGTGAGAGCCCTGCTCCCCGAGAGTCGCTAGGGGTGCTTCACTCTTGGGTGGGTGCAACAACCAGCTGTGCCAACCCCATCTGGATCCCTCTGGTCATCAGGAAGATCTGGAAAAAAGAAAGTCCTGAGGAAGCAGCCCAGAACAGCACAAGCAATTGGGCAAGGAGTGGGATATCAGAGAGCCCTGCAGCAGGTGGCATCCCAGCAGAGCTAGAAACGGCAATGGGAGGGAAAGGGGGACAGACTCCTATCTGCCGGACCAGAAGTGATCATCTCTTTTTGAGCCAGCTGGGGGCACTGCAGGTATGGTATAAACGGGGGGCCATGGCCCGGGGCACAGGGTCCAGTTGTGACATGAGGGGCTGGAAGGGAGATGGTAGGTGTTGGCGTGCATGTGCTTTGCTAAAACCAAGGAGAGCCGAGCCTTCAACTCTTCTTGCGGGTTTGCCATCACGCGTGCAGCTCCAGCTGCAACGGGGTTATCGAGTCTCCCCCATGCCCAGGTCGGTGGGGACAGAAAGGGGGCTGCGTGACTAGCTCTGGCTCCGAGAACAATGGCAGCAAGGAGCTGGCGAGGTCGCTCCCACCCTCTGGCTCCATTTCACCGAAGTATTTAGATAGCAATCTCAAGGCCGGAATGTAAATTGGAAGCAGATCCGGGTGCTGAGGCTGGAGCCAGATGTTAAAGGTAACCCGGCCGCATGAAACGCGGAGCGGGGGAATGAATTGATGGGCCTCGACAGTCCCCCCAGCCGCAGCGCACCCGGGCACAGCCAAAGTGGAGGAGGGAACAGTCTGCGGTTTCGTTGTTGCCTGCAGCTCATTTCTAGCCCGTTCAGCTTGCGTTCCCTTGGGAGGGGGGGCAAGGATGTGGGGCCTGTGGGAAGGGCTCGGTTTTTGCTGTACTGGAGTTGTGTAAATGAAAGGGGCACGCTCATGGGGAACGAGTGCATCTACAGGGCGCGTATCTAAGGGTGCCTGGGGGGGGTGCATGTGGCGCCCGTGTGCCGCGTGTCCACAGGGCGCGGGGGTGAGTGGCTGGACGCGATGGCATGCTGGCAGCGGGGGGCTTGGGCAAATGTGCCTGTGTATTCAGAGGGGTGATGCTCCACTTCTCTTCTCCAGGAAAGCAGTACCCGCCTGACCCCAGCCCTCGCCCTGTGCGTTCCCGCTGTCAGGCTGGAGGCTTTGGGGTTTGTTCCTGGCGTGCAGGAACGCCTCCTCCTTTCTTCCGTGCTCCTCCAGATGCTTTAAGGGGCTGCTCGGGGTTTCCTTGCGTCCCCCAGCACACCTGGTGGGACAAGGAGGCTGAGGGGCAACCCTGGAGAGGGGGAAAGGGGATGCCCCGAGTCCTCTCCCTCCTGGTCCCTTGCCAGGCACTGGCGTGGGGACTGCAGCGGGGTCTGCTCCCAGCCCAGGGAGGGGGGGGCGAGTGCCCCACAGTCCCTTCGCTGCTGGGAAGAACAACAGCGCGGACCGTTTGTGCACAGAACCCATTTCCATAGCAACGCTGCATTGTGCGGGAGCCGGGCGTGCAATCCCAGGGTGGATGGAAGGAAAAGCCTGGCTGGCTCATTGAGATGCACCTGCCAGCCGCAGTGCTGAGGGGGAATCCCTGCCGCCCGGGGAACCCCGGTGCAGCCCGGCGGAGAGCGGGACAGGGCCGCAGCAGGCCCGAGTGACCCCGGAGCCTGGCTGCGCCCCCTGGGCTGGGGCAGGATGGGGTCCCCCAGCCGAGGGCACCTCCAACAACACAGCTGCTGCCCTTGAACTCGGCCTGAATGGGAGATACCTCTCTCCTCCACGCAGTCCGTCCCTCCCCAGGCTCCTTCAAAGCGCTTGCGACTAGCTCTCCCAGAGCAAATAATTATGGAATTAAAACCCAAGCCTTTCAGTCCCTTAATAGCCTGCGCCAATCTGTCAGCGGCTGCCTGCGTGCGGTGGGGGAGGGAGGGGGGAGGCTGTTATGTAAGAGCCTCGGAGCCCGTGAACTCCCCTCGCCTGCAGCAAGTGGCACTCCTGCCCCGCCGCCCCCGTTTAGTCTGGCCGAGAAGGGGTCTCGCACCGTGAGGGGCTGGATTTGACCAGCGAGGACGCGAGGAGGAGGTTGCGGAGACCCAAGGGGGTTTCTGAGACCCTCGGGGAATCATCCCAGCCCGTGGGGCAGGGGAAGGGTGTTTATAGGAAGCGCTCGGAGGGCAACCGGGCGAGCGTGGGTGCTGGGATGGGAAGGGCGTTGTGGTGCTGGGAGAGGGCCTGGTACCTGGAGCTGCCCTGAATCCCCACATATCCTTTGAGGAGTAGCTGGTAGCTGGGGCTGCATACAAGCTGGAGCCTGGGTTTCTCTGCAGATGTGCTGCTCTCCTTGATTCTGGGGTACCACACCCCAATACCTCGGTGCCTGAGGCTGTGGGAGCCCACCAAGGCACCTCTGTCCAGCCCGTGTGCCCACACTGGTGTCCTCTGGGGCGGGCAAATGCTCGCTCTCCCTGCTTCTTTCCTACCCGCCTGTGGCTTGGCACCAGCCACCGAGGCCAGCCGTGCCCACCCCTGCCAGAGCTCCTTCCTTCCTGCCTTGCTCATTGCGTCCTTGGTAGTGTGGCTCAGACTTTCCCTTGGGTGAGTCCCTTATGATGGTGTATGTGGACCCCCCGCCTCTTATTTTATAATGGGGCCTGGAGATGCTTGGGCCAGCCCCACAGAGAGCCCTCCTAGCCCCCCTGTCACTGAATGCTTCTTCGGGGAGCGATGCAAGGGAAGGAGCTGACAGTGCAATGGCTGTTCCCTGGGAGGTGACGGATGAGCTGAGGTGCTCTGTAGTCCTCAAATACAATTTACTCTACAATTACTGCCTGCTCTCTGCAAGCGCAGGGTGAATGCAGAGGCGTGATGGGGAGATGGGAAAACCTCGGGCTGGCCTGGAGCAAGGGGGCATGTCTAAAAACCAAGCCGGAGAAAGCTCTGGATTCCCTGTGCCCGTTGTAGAGGGGCAGTGCTTTGCAGGGTGCTGTGGGCAGTGTCGCCCCGTGGTGTGAGCGGGGGGGAAATAGGATGGGCAAGGGGCAGCATGATCTTGGTGGGGTGTTTTTTACCCCCAGGCTCAAGGATCTCCATCCCCTGGGAAATCTGAAGTGAGCAGTAAGAAGCTCAGCTGCTCTCTGCAGGAAATCTGCTCTGGGCTGGGAATCGGAGAGGAGTTTTCCGAGCTGTAGCTGCCCTCAGCTTTCTATCGCAGGCTATTAACAGCATGCCTGGAGATCCTGCTGTTTGCATTTACCAGGTCTGAAGCAATGCGTGGAGGCAGGGCTGCTGCTGTGAGAGGATGCGTGGGCTGGAGGCCTTGCAGGTAGCTGTACCAACACCCATGTTAATGGTTGCAACTCTCATGGGTTGGATCCATCCCGGTGCCCTAATCCCAGTCCTCATGGCCACAGACTAAGCCCAGAGGGAGCCAGTTTATAAAAGGGACAACTCTGAAGTCCCGCAGCAACTGATCTCCAGGTTTAGTACTCCCAAGCCCTGTGCTCAGCTCTGTTCCCTGCCCTGCTACATGGGAAGAGGCTGGTGACGGGGCTAATGCCACTTCATCCTTCAGAGAAAATTCAATGTGGGGAGAAAAAAAAAAATCTCCAGCCCTTGTGAGTGTAACAGCCAATCTCCAAATCCACCTCTCTGCACTGTAATTGTTGGTAGTTTGCTGAGTCCTCCCTGATTCGACATGTCTCGGTCCCAGCACAGATGCCCAGGGCTGGAGAGCTGCAGGTGGAGCCAGGGACTCACGGCAGGTGGTACTAGAGGGGCTGGGCTGCAGCAGGTGAGGCTGCCTGACCACAGCTGAGAGCCACAAAGCAGGTGCCTGTGTGCTGGGGGGTCCGACCCTCATGTTTCTCCTTGATGCAGGCCTATCAGCTCTGCTGCATCCATCACCCAAGTATCCAGGCATGTTGACTGGGCTTGACTTGCCTTGTGCAGGGGTAACGGTGGCTCACTGCTTTCTCTGTGCCGGGGGAACCTCATGGGCAAATCAGAAGGCACAAGTCAAAGCCACAAGGAGGTAAACTGCTTGGATCAGATCACAGGAGACGGTGACAGTGAAGGAGCAGAGATCACAGAGTAAGTGTGGAGGCAGCGACTGGTCTGTCTGTCCTTTCAGTTGTGGCAGTGCCGTGTCGCTCTGGATGACCAACTAGCCTCTTTCAGCGCACTCCCAGAGCCGGATCGGCTGGACAGTTTGGGCAGTTCTCTGTGGTCCACTCTCATAAGCTCTGGTGACACTTCTGTGGCCTGACGCTGGGGGGCTGGTTTTGTGTGCAGTGATACATGTGCGTGCTCGTGGCTATGTCTGCATGTGTGCACATATGCACCGCTCCCCGGAGTCTCTCCCCTGGGGCGAATAGAGATGCCTGGCTCTCTCCGGCACTGCTCCCACACGGAGCTGGACATGTGGTCCTTGGATGTGCCGGGGACAGGAGAATTGCAACATTCCCTTTTGTGACTTTTCCTGAGCTCAGATTCCTTTCATCCAGCTAAGTGCTCGTACGCAACTTTTAACAAAGTCCAGCCCTTTTGCAGCTTTGTTCTTCCCTAGACCTTTGGCTTCTGGGAGGGGCTGAGTCTGATTTCCTTTTTCCCCTTTGGCCTTCTTTCAGACTGCAACAAATCCACACCCGTCGAGGAACCGGACAGCGACGACAGAGGCAGAACTCAGAACCTGCTGCTGCAAAATTCATTCCCATTCTGCAGGAGCGTAACGAGAGCCACTCTTAACGGTTTGCAGTACAGAGTCCGTGACACACAGTTGTGTGGTCCCAATTTTTTCTAGTAGAGGGCACTGCTGTGCATTTACACCGGAGTGAAATGGAAAGAGAACCTGGGATTTCTTCATCTCTTTAACCACTTGAATGCGTCTGGGTCACCTGTGGAGACGTGCTTCCTGAACTGTCCGCTGTCTTTTACCCCCAGTTGTATAGCGAGACCTTTTCCCTAATCTTATGCACTTTTCTAATGCACAAGCCAGTTTTGGAATCTTGTTTTCCATTTGATTTTAGAAAGAGACCACCACCAACCAAAAAAGCCCCCAAAACCCATAGCCTGCTGGTTACAATATGCTGGCAGGGGCTGGTATGAATTGGTATGCATTACAGCCCGAAGAGAGAGACGCCCATCTCATCTCTACTTGCCAAAGCTGAAGGGAGCTATGCAACAGAGAGACCTCTGTGCCCCAGGAATTAATGGTTTTTGGTATTAATTACTCATTGGACTTTAAAGCCCATACATTTGGTGCTGTGGAAATGGGGAAGGGAAGCTGGGATTCAGAGGCAAAGGGCAGGGACCCTTGCAGGGGAGCGGTGTTCTCCAGCATTGCCCTAAATTAGCAGGCCTTGCTCCTAGAAAACCTCAGTTTAAAGCTTGGTTCACAGAAACCTGTGGAAGATTTTTCTGCTTAAACCAAGTGTCCTGAAACCATCCCCAGCACAAGTCCTTCGAAATCAATCCACGAGGAAAAACAAAAGCCGATACCGGGAATGGATTTGACCCTGTGTATTTTCTGCCTGACATCTGGCGTCCCTTTTTTCTTGTGGTTTTTATTACTAGGCACACTTGGAGTAAAAATAAGCACAAACTCTGATCTTTTCTTCTTTTGGGGTTCTCTGCTCATTCCTCACTTAGGACCACATTAACATTTGATCTCTGCAGCCACCGATCGTGATGTCGTTAGGAAAAGTTTGCGGTTTCCCAGGACGAGTAAGCAGCAGCAGTAGGAAGCACAGGGGCGACTCGCAGCCAACAAGGAACCGTCCTGCTTTCCTGCAGAAATCATAAACCAGGAGGGAAGGGACCAGAATAAGAAATGGAGGTGGGAAAGGCTTGTCAGCTCATGGGAAAGTCTCCAGAAACAGCAATCTTTGTCCACAAAGTCCTGTTCATGCCAGCAGATTTCATTGCCTCTAAGGTTTTTCTCAGGGGCATCTTGAGGGGGGAGAAAAAAACCAGCTATTACAAGACCATTTCTCCATATGCAAACAAGAAAACGCACAAAACTGCTCATCTGACACAACCGCTAAACAAACCACACTGCCCAGCGCCCACAACTCCTAGAAGGGTCTTCCCATGTTTCCCCCCCACTTCACTCCTCCAGTGGTTCCTCATTTTTACCTAGCGGATTGCTTTCTCTGAGGTTTTTATACTGCCACATAAAACCCCCAGCAGGCATTTCTGGCAGTACTTTTGCTCAGGATTTTTTTTTTTTTTGGGTGGTTGGTAGGGTCATAAGGCTTCCACCTAGCATAGAGAAAAAGCATCAGTTGGATGATAAGGGATGTCAAACGAGGGACCGGGCCCTCCGTGCCATAGGTGGTACTGGATCCACTTTCACAGCTGGCAGGAGGGGAAGCGGGGAGTCAGATCCTCCTCTTCGTGACTCCACTGACAATGGACCTATGCTGACTTACCCCTGCCAAGGCTCTTGGTAAAGTCTGTATTGTCTCTGTGTGCATTCCCCAGCATCTCTATTGCATCTTCCTACAAGGACAACCGTGGACAAACAAAAGGAGGCTGCACTCGGAAGATGCCTTGCGCTCTGCTGCTTGTAATTGTTCTGTCACTGAAGAATGAAGGCAGCTCAGACAATGTTATCTGACAGGCACCGCTTCATTGTTCCCCTGAAGTTTATTATTTTTTTCCCAGGGTTGTGCATTGTGAAGTTCAGACTGCTCCCCTGCATTTGCTGCCATTTATCTATAATTTAGTATGGGTTTTAGTTATATGATAATTGAGTTTCATGTGTCACAGTGTGTCTCAAACAGAAAATATAAATATTTAACAGCCTCCACTAGTAATAAAGATTCGCATTTGCCTCATTTTGGTTCCCACTGCATGAATATTCTGCACCACGCGCTGTGGGTATTAACTTCATTCAGATTTATCCTCTGTTATGCAATATCATGTTAATGACAGATAGAAAGCCAGACCTTTAAAAAAAAACCCAACAAAACAGTTAATGCCATTAACTCTTCTTAGCTGGTTAGTGGAGCGGTAACATGCTCTTAGTCATCCAAGCATCCTGCACAGAAAAACGCAATGACCCTGTCTTGAATGAAAGTCTGGGTCAGCTCTGTCGTCTCCCAGGGAGCTGCTTCAGAGTCGCACCAGTGAGAGAGCAGGATTTACCCTGTGTTTGACAAGACTTTGTAGGGTTTTGCTGTTCAGGAACCTCAGTCTGCAAGTTGTGCTGTTTAGGCACCACTGGCGTTCAGTGACTGGTACGGCATGGGGCACGGGGCTGCAGTTCGGGCTTTTGGGTGGGTTTGGAGCAAGAGGGAGCTGTGGGTGGGTCACATAAAGGGTGCTGGGTGAGGGCCAATGGCAGAAAGTGGGAGGAGAGGGGACGAGAGGGTTCTTTGGAGGTATGGGATGAAGTGTCTCTCTGGCTCGGGTGTGGGTTTTCTCTGGCAGGGAGATAATAAATAACACAAAACTGATGCATTTTCTGGCAGCTGCACCCCACCCCCCCATCCAACCGGAAAGCCAGAAAACTCCTATATCTACCAGCCCCAAGCAGGGTGACTCCTGCATTGTCCCCAAGCTCCCTATTCTGTCCAGTGCTCTGGACGTGGGTGATGCAGGACACCGTGGTGGGCTCAGTGCAAGACTCTTATCTCCTTCCTACCTAGTCCCTAGTGGGCAGCCACCCTGCACAGTGGCTTTAAACGTACCTAACTTCACATCCATGTTTCTTAGAAGGAAGATTGTTGGAGCTCTCCAAGCTTGTCATTGGAGAACAACGTCTAGCAGGAATGAAATATCAACACAACAGAAGAATAAGAGCCTTGTGAAGGGACCCATTGGTGTCTGCAAACTCCTTCAAGGTCTCGATTGCCTTACTTTCTACTCCCCCCGTGGGAAAGCTGGGCTTGATTCTCTCCACGCTGCCCTTGATGTGATGGCAGGCAACCTCGCAGCCTCAACGTACCTTGAGGAAATCATGTCATCCCAAGTTATCCGGATAGAAAAGATCAGTCGTGACTTTCTGCCGGGGCCTGCCTGGCAGAGCAGATGGTAATAATGGTTCCAGGGAGGTTGGTTCTCATGAAAACACAATATCACATTTCTTAACTCTGTGCTGTAGTTGTTTGCTCTCCCCAAGCCACCAAACAGCTTGTTTAGTTCTTTCCTAGCATTTTGTTCTGCCTCATGCAGTCTGTCAAGTATTTCCAGTTGCACTGATGTAGGGCTAACCAATCTGGACCCCTTCAACTACAGGGCTCAGTTTATGGTAAGAGCCCCAGCAACAGCCCAGTCTGGTTTTCGTGGAGGTTTCCATCTCTCTTTGTCCAGCCCTCTTTCCCTTGAGTCATGACTTGGCTCGGTTTTGTAGCTGCTCCTTGCCGTATGTTCCTGCAGGCGTCTTTCTGTGACTAGTAAAATAGTAAATATTGCAACTACAAAACCTTTTATTAGCAGCTCCTTCCATTTGCTCTCAAGCTGTGGTGTGACTGGCGCCCTGGAGAATGAACCAGATGTGATGAGCTTCCTCCCAGGTATATGGGCAACTGAGAGCTGCAACCGCCGGAGTCTGACTCAGAAATGATGCACCCCCAGTGGTAATTCATTTTAAGCTTTATGGGGTGTTTTTTTTTTGGGGGGGGGGGGTCTTTTTTAAACCTAGAAGAGCATCTAATAACACACCTTTTTTTTTTTTTAGGCCTATTAGAAAGTCCCCCAAATATTCAAAACCTCAGATAGTGGCTAGGGCTTTGTATCTCACATGGACAAGATATGAGATAGGTGCTACTGGACACAACTGTTCAGGGCATTGTTCCTGAAACAATGCCATTACCTCCATAGGATGAGGCATCATCTGAAACTGTGGCTATAGGGCCCAAACTGTTGAAGTGCTCAGGTCATTCTTCATCTTTCTGAATGTCTGGTTCTGTTTAGCTCCTCAAGACAAGGAGTTTTGTGGACTCTGAAGAGTTTGCTATGGCTTTCCCAGGTGAGGAAATAATTTATCCAACGGTGCCGGCATGTCCATGAAGTGATGTACTTCCCTGGCATTCGGATGCCCTTTGCATCTGGGTAATGCATGCTCTCTGAATCTGGTATGGTTCCTGTTTCATCTAAGATCTGGCATAGAAACCTGATCTTGTCATAAGTATTGGTACTTTCAAGTCTCAGGCCTGCTGTCTTCAGCATTTCCTGAACTGGAAAGAGATGCTGGTCCCATGGACTTGGAGGGGACTGGTAGATGAGAATATGGCTCCTTTATCAGCAAACCCTTTTCAGACCTTCTCAGCGTTATGATATTTTCCTCTTGAAACATTTGGGAGCAGATGATGTGGCAATGGGGAGTTGATTGGAAGTGTGATGAAAGCCGTTAGTAATGTACATACTGCAACCAGTCTGTCTGGCAGGACTCAGACTGGAGATCCAATCTGGAGAAGATTTTTGCTTTGCTAAATTGTCCCAGGAGGTGGGCAGAGCATGGGTGCCCATGTCAAGACATGGTCGGGCTAGAAGATCTACTAGGTCCCTTCCGACCCTAAATCTATGAAACTATGAAGACATGCTTAATGCACTCAGTAAGGCCTATACAGATCCAAACCTTGCCATGTGTTCTTGGGACCACTCCCATGTCTACAGGCCAGTCAGCAGAGATGTCTGTCCTGTGCCATGTGGTTGAGTGCTGCTTTCACCCTGGACAGCAAGGCAGGGTAGGCCCTGCAGGGGCTTGATAGGGCCGACAGCTTTGTATTTGTCATGGCATTCTCCCCGGTCATCCCCAGTCCTCAGGATAACTTTGAGGAACTGTATCCAGAACTCAAGCTCTAGGTCCATGGTCACTAGTTGTATCTTTGTGACCAGTTGTGATTGTGGGGCGTCCCATGTACCAGTGCACAGAACATCTACAGCATAGATCCCTTGAGGTTAGGAGAAAAAAATAATCTGTGTTTTAGAGTGGCCACATTTTTTTTTTTGCCTTTCACATTTAATAGGGACTATTCTGGACTTTCCAATACCTCTTTTGGCTCTTGAAGTGTTCATGCTTTCATTCTCCGGTAAAGGTGATTCTGGAATCAATTATACCATCACCTGTATCTATTCTGAAACCTGTTTTTTTCCAAGAAAATTGTGGTAGCCAATGATGGTTCTTTTAGACTATCTCTTGTGGTTCCAAGAGGTGTAATCTTAGTATTTATTGGGTGTCTTCTTTAAAGAGGGTGATTATCCTGGGCTTAGAGCAGCAGACTGCTGTGCAACATCCTGATTTTAGACATTTCCTGCATGTGGTATCCCTTGCAGGACAAAGCCATTTCCTTTCAGGAGGTTTGCCATACCATGGGCTGGTTATATTTCTTTCCTTTACTTCATCCTAGCATTTCTTTCTTGGATCATTTAGTGCTTGTCCTGGCCAGGGTCGGTATTGTTCTGGGCATCCATGCATATTTTCCTCCCTGTGTCTATGGCTTCTAAGACCTTCAGCGCTCTTCCTGAGAGGAGTCTGCTGCTACTGGGGACATGTCTATCCCTGCCTGTGTGCTGCACCCAGGGGCAAAGCTGCTGTCCCCTCGCTCCAGATGCCAAATCCTAGAAATGAGGTGAGGCAAAGCAACCAGCTGAGAACCCTCAACATACCTGACACAGGGACAAAGAGGTATGAAGAGCTGAGCAAAAGCAGCTACCTTGCCTGGCTTTGGGAAGTTGATCTGTGTGGGTGGGACATAGTTCATGGCAGTGCTGCTGCACATAGCATGGAGGTGGTGCACCTGTCTTGTATATCCTGATTCCTGAGGGTTATGTTCATGGCTAAGACCGATTTGGATAGCTGGCTGTCCCCCAGCCCTGCACCGGGCCTGTGTTTGAGGATGTCTTCATTCATCTCCCTGTAGTTATGGGGCCGGATGAGGTTGTACAGGGTTATTATATGAAACCATCCACTGACTCACCTTTCTCTTGCTTGTGTAAGTGAAATTGTGTCTGCTCAAAAACTTCATTGTGGTATGGCATGAAATACTTATCCAGTGCTTATTTAATTGGACTGAACTGTTTCATCTGAGCAGCTGTGAAGCTTCTGGGGAGAATATGCCCTCTGCTTGAGGTCCATTGTATAGAGCGGGGAATTAACTTGTTTCTCCCTGGTTTCTGATCTAAGCTGGAAGCCGGGAGGAAGCTTTGGAAGCTGCTTCCTAGGGTGACCCTCCATCCTGGTGCATTCCAGGCAGAGCGGTCTTTGGAAAAGGGCTGGGGAAAGATGTTGCAGCCTCTGCTCTTTTACCAAATTATACATCCTTCTCCACCTTTTCCTTCTCTTTGAGTGGAGCAAGGTGGCGAGGCACCTTGAAGAAGCCAACATTTGGACGCTTATCTTGCTGGGATCCTTTGAGCCCCAGCTCACTTCCTGCCCCTGGGGCGGGGGGCTGGACCCGATGATCTTCTGAGGTCCCTTCCGGCCCTAATGTCTATGAAATCTGGTGTTGTTGTCTGGGGAGCCCCTTCCTGGCCTATCCTCACCCCCTGTTGCAGGCTAGGCTCATGGTAGTGGTTTGGTCCAGGCTGCCTGCAGTTCTGGGCCTCTTTGTGCTGGCTCTGTTGCTGAGTTGGAGGCCTTGCTCAAGTGCCTTCCTTGACCCCTTCACCCTTTTGGCAGAGGTAGCCTGTGGTTGTATGGGTCTCTGTTCAATCTGGTGTATGATGCTAGCTGGAGATTACAAAGACTCAAGACACTTAGGTTGGAGCTAAGGCTGTATGGACTTTATCCTCCAGTTACACAGACATTCACCATCTCTTTCGAGGAGCCCCGCAGGACAGTGCCTCCAACTGTTCACAACTCCCACCACAAGCACAGCTTCATCTCCGGAGTAG